GAGGGAGAGTCCCGCTCCCTACAGGAAGCCGCGACCACGTGGCACGGGAGGGAAAATGGCCGCGGATCCTGTTCGTAACCCGATCTGGCGTTCGTGAATGGAAGCAAAATTTTGCGGCCAAAGCTGTTTGTGAACCAAATTGTTCATGAACAGAAGCGTTCGTGAACTGAGGTACCACTGTACAAGTAATTTCCAGGCCTTAGAAGTGACTGAAATTTGACTTGCAACAATTCTATAGAGGTAAAACTCTCTACTTTTTACTTGTCTTGATACTTCTCGTATTTTTTTCTATACCTCAATTATATTTATACTTTCTTCACAGCTGCCTGTAAATTAGGAAGTGCATTGTTTGATTTTTGGGGACCAAAGGTATTGGTAGATAGATGCAACCCCCACAGATGAATCTTTAATCATAAATAGACTAGCAAGCATTTAGTGAGTACTATATACAAATATGAAATATTTACTATACATTCCAAAGGTTTAGTTAGTGGAGGACTTAAAGCAAATAGCAACAAAATATTTTCTCAATACATTATATATTGAGTTACTCATTTCTCTTAAGCATGGTGAATGAATATAATTAATAGATAGAATGTTTTAAATTAAATATCTGGAAATGAAATATTACCTCCCAAAGTGTCATCAAATATTGCCTGACATTCAACTAAGTGTTTATATAAATAGTTCAAAGAAAAGAACTAAAGTTATTAGAGGCTTAATGCAAAGCTCCTCAAACTTTTTGGTGCCATGGCCTGCTAAATTAAATGCATTTGTATGACAAGTCCTTTCCATAAATAGAACTGTCATAACATAGTGACATGGTTCAAGCTGTGCTTGGACAAACACAGACAATGAGAGCCCTGTCAGAGTGCAGTCTGACAACTTTAATTCAGGGAGAATGGGTTGCATGGGTTGAACTTATTATGGAACAGCCAATACAAGCGACTTCTTTTTCTTGTTTCTGGGGGAATCTTTTTGGTGCCTAGGCCTAGAAGCCCCTCTGGAGGAATCTAAGCCATGGGATAACCTTCTCCACCAGCTTAGAAGTCACTCCCATACAGGCAAGCAATCTTAAGGCAGCATCAGAGGCAAGCCTAGTGCCTGACCTGAGATAGGTGACTTGGTGAACCTTGCACAGGTGCATCAGCAGGCTGCAGGGATGGCACAGAACTCTCTCCAGCACAAGACAGTTCTGTCCAGACAGCCTGTCTCACGCTTGGGCAGTATAAGCACTGGGCATGCCAGTACCTATTGCAGCGGGGCAGTAACTTAGCAACAGGAAGGGGAGAGGTCAGTGCTGTACTGGGGCCCCTCATTCAGGGGCAGCTCCTGGGTAATGGACGAGGAAGAGACTTGGTGGGAGAACTCTGCAGAAAACACAGCAGCTTTTTTCCCATGGTCCTATGGCAGATCTACAAGCACCAATATGAAAAAAGACTGGTGAAGCTTGCACCAGGAGTGCATCTTTATTCCTCTTCTCTAAGCAAAAATGATATTCTGCTCTCCTTCACATCGGGAAGTGTGCTCCCTTTCAGCCAAATCTGGTGAGGTTCACTGTGACATGCTGTTACTCCTTCTCTTCTCTATCCTCTGAAGTAGCCATTCTCTTTGTGCAAGCTTGGCTTGTAAATGCACAGCTTTATCAATGCAAGACCATGCTTCCACTCTGCCTGGACAAAATGACAGTCAGCTTCTCCAAAGAGTGAGCACGATCCCTCACCTTTTAAATTTGCTTGTGACTCCTGAGGGTCACATCCGACAGTCTGAGATCCCCAGCTTAAGGTACAGTGAACAGAAAGTAAAAGTAAGTTTCTTTATTGGTCTCTATGATCTACAAGGAACTCCATTCTGGAGAGTTTCTACTTGAAACTGACAGGGAGCTAGAGGGGATGGGGCCTGAAAATAGCTTGTCCTATATACAGCATTTTGAATTTCAGTTTAGAATAGATTCCACCTACCTTTTTCCTCCTCTTCTTCTTCCTCCTCATCTTCCTCACTATTTTCAGCTTTGTTTTCAGTTCGTGGTTCTCTTTTTTCCATTTGTTCCGTAGACAGTAAATCATCTTTTTCAGAAACAGAAGACATATCTGCTTTCTTTCTGCATGGAAGACATGGGGAAAATGTCAACATGATTAGTATGAAGTATTTTATTACTACCATTAGTACTGAGACTTTCAACACAAAGCAATAGTGTTGCATCTTTTAGCACAAAGGTTCATACAATGTGCATAGTCATAACTGGTTTATTTTTGATTTAGAGTGATATGTGAGTCTATCCATCACTGTTTAATGTTATGCACAAACTAGGTTACTTACATTTGTTCCACAAACAATGAATAAAAAGTCCTGCTTTACCATTGTATAAGCTCAATGACTGTATTTCAAATTTTCTTACAGCACAAGAAGCAGTTGTTCTTAAGAGCAGATATGTTTGTTAACTATATTGGCTATTAAATGCAGCCCAAAATATCATGTATTTTGCTATAGATTCAATACTATCTATCTGATATGGTAGATTAAATCATATTTTATTTATTCATCAAATTTATCACCTCCCATCTCATGAAATGACTCTGGGTGGTTTACAGAAGAGATAAAATCAATTAAAATACAACATAAAAACAATCCTAAAAATAAATAAATCCCAAGAAGATAGAAAATTGGCAAGTAATTCCAGGGAGCACCATCAGGGAACCCCCTCAGGGGCAGGTAGAGCCCATATCACCCCATGGACACTGACAGAGCCTGGTATTTAAATCTTTTTGGAAAGCTGGGAGGGCAGGGGCCCGCCACACCTCTGGGGGGAGAATATTCCAAAGGGTAGGGGCAGTGGCAGAGAAGGCTTTCTTCCTGGGTCCCACCAGCCGACATTCCCTTGTTGACGGGATCCGCAACATGCCCTCTCTGCCTGACTGGGTGGGACAGACTGATGTAATGGGGATGAGACAGTCCCTCAGGTAACCTGGACCCATGCCATGTAGGGCTTTAAAGGTGATAACCAAAACCTTGAATTGGAGCCGGCAGCAAATTGGCACCCAATGCAGCTCCTGGAGCAAAGGTGTTACATGTGCCATCCTAGGGGCACCTAATATCATCCGTGCGGCTGCATTTTGAACCAGCTGTAGCTTTTGGATATTCTTCAAGAATCATCTTCTAGCTAATAAATATGCTGGTAAAGAGTAACTACTTGTAAATAAGGCGAAAGATTTATTTATCTGAAGAGAAACCAGAGTATACTTGTAAATAAAATAGCTTATTGACTGATTAGTCTTACAACCATATCAAAGAAAATAAAATAAAGGTAAAATACAAGGTCTATTTCCAGGATAAAATAGGTAAAAGTAAATAGAATAATAAAATACATATACGCTAAATACAAAGAATCAACATTCAGACAAATACATCACCTTTACATGATACCCTAGTCTGTTCAATACGACAGAATCTTAGCTGAACTGCCTTGTCTATAAACTTAGCAGTTCTGCTAGCAATGTATATGTTAGAGCCAGGAGGAAATAGGACAATTTGCAATTCAGGTCCCAGTGGGCTGTTCTTTCAAGTAGGGATTTTAAATATCTAGGCCTAAAAGTGGCATACAGTTGACAAACAAAACATGAGCAATATCTTTGATGGCTAGGGCACCACATATACATGTCCTCTCATATGGCAAGTAATAGAAGTGCCCATATTTGGCCATGAAATCCAACAACTCATATCTTGCTCTAGAATGGGCCCTTCTGTAAATAAAATAAAATCCCATGTTGTCCAGTAAATACACTAAAGTATAGAAAGATGCATTCAAAATAAACAAAATACTTTGCATAATTTTTAGCATACAATTTGGAAATAATTATATCCTGATTCTAAAGATTTCCAGTTACTTAAATAGAATAGTTGGACAATATGACTCCCACACATGAAAGGAAATTAATCCAAATTAACTTAGAAAACTATTACTTAAGTTCCTTTCCTGAAAATTAATTCAGAAGAATTTTTTTGCTTTATGTAAGCAAATCAACTGTTTTATAGTAGACCACCTGGTGCTTTGCAAAAAATTCTGAATCAAGCAGATCTTGGTCTTACCCATAAAAAAATGGGTAATCTTTGGATCACTCAACACATCAGATTACTCAATACATACTTTAAAGAGGTACTCAGTATCTATATGCTTGGTAAGTTTCACACAGGGACAGAAAGAATTCCTAACAGAACACTTACACTGAAATTAGCCAATTTTTGGCTTTGTTAATATATTAATAGTGTAGAATCAGTATCAACGAGTTTCAAATGTACAGAAAGCAACCAAAGTAGACTTAAAATCCTTGTTCATTTTGATCAAGACATTATAGATAAGAACATAATCAAGATCAAATTAGACAGTGGTTACCACAATGGTCAACTAAGTACACATGGACACCCACAAGCAAGAAAACTACAGTAGAATTTTCCATGTGCATTTACTAAAAATTGATAATCAAGAGGGATAGTCTTATGTTCCTTGAATGTATTTATCCTCTTTTGAAACTGTGTTGGTGAATAGCTTTAACTGTGTTGCATAAAGAAGTAGTTCATTTGTAGCATTCAGGACTTTTTAGAAGTGAAATAAGAGTTAAAAAACTCAATTCAGCCATGAAATGCAATGGTTACTTTGGATAAGGCAGTACAACTCAACTTAAACTACCAGGTATGATTGTTGAGATAATAAAACACAATGCATACCATGAAATCATCCCAAACTGCTTGGAATAAGGTCAAGGAAGTTTTCCTTATCATGCTAAATAATGAACTCCAATATGCCATTCTGTGTCTGATTTTCAAATTTACATGTTTTCTTCACTGAAGTAGGCAATTCTTGCTATCTCTGCAGATATAAACACACTATTTTAACAGGCTACTTCATGTAGCTGATGGAGCAAGCATGCAGAAGTTGTATTTGTACAACAGCTTACCAATAGATAATTGGATCATTTATGGAATTAATCCAATCATCTGGTCTCCTCCAATACACCATACCATAAACTAACCACACCAATACATTTCTCACAACATATCAGGTTAAAATACAGTTAGTTGTTTTTTGATGAAGTGTTGATGATTGTCAGCTCATTGCAACAAAATATCTTTCTAGGAAGACAACAAAAAGGAGTTTGAATGCTTCTGGGTTGCATTGAACTCTTTTTCAGGATGGATGTTTTAATATTCCAGCAGATATTCCAAAACACATTCTCTGCTAGCTGGGAGGTGGTTAATACCTGGAAGGAGGATGTTCAAGAAATCACTGGGTTATAGGTCTGAGTGGGAAATTGAAAAAAACACTCCCACCTTCCCCTCAAAAGTAATTGCAAACTCCTGAAACTCCTGAAATTGTTAGGTTACTTTGGGCCAGTCCCTCTCTCTCACCCCAACCTACCTCACAGAGTTGTTGTGAGGAAATAGGAGGTAGGAGTATTAAGTATGTTTGCCTGAGTTTTACATAAAAAGGTGGGATAAAAATATAAGAATAAGAAGACTACTGCAACCAAGGAATTACACGGATGGGAAGAAGGAGAAAAATCTGCAGCCAAGGAATTACACGGAGGAGAAGAACAGTACAGTATTGAGGCCAAAGAATTACACGGACGTTTCCACGGCGTCCCCGAGAGGCGAGCTGATCAGGAAGACGCTTCCTTCACATCGACATCTATTTCATATTACTACCACTGCTTGCTTAAGGATCATAGGCTCCTGGAGCGCCGGAGTTCAGAAAACAGACTCCCAGGCAGTTGGCAAGGGCTGACAGGCGGCAGAATTCCGGCGGGAAACAGCTCGAGCGACGGAAGACATCAGGCCTCGCGCCGGCCGGAATTGAAGTCCACTCCGAGGGGGAAAGGGAAAAGGGGCGCTGAGGGACTCTCCCCTTTCCTGACGGTTCTCTGGGGCACCGCGCTAGGCCCCAGGCCGGGCTTCGGACACTAACACAATCCCTCCGGTCAGGCCCGTTATAAGCATCTTCTTTTCGACCGTTATCCCAAGAACACAGAAACACCCACCTCGTCGCCGACGGATTCCTCGAGGCGGTTCTAAGAAAATGGGTCCAGCGGCGACCCAGGCGGCCCAGACGGCGACAAAACAAAACCCTTCAAGAGACAAGACCCGCCGTTAACAGAAGAGGGGCGGGGCTTCGCGTGAGCTTAGCGTTACTCGCTTCCTCGCAGAAAATCAACAACGTTTCAAAATGGCGGGTTGTCAAAGGGGAAGAAGGAAGCGGGAAGGTGCTAGCCAATAGATGCCGAAGACGTAGTCAGAACGAGGCGGAGCTAGAAAGTGATGGGCAGGAGCGTTGAGAGCAAGTCAATGCTCTTACTGTAATTTGAGGAAGGTATGCGGAGCATGCGCAGTGTCGGAACGATATCAGAGGGCGGATGTAGATCTACGCGACACCCCCGGTAGTTGCCCGCGTGTTTTCCCCACCCAGTTGCAAGGTGGAAGCTGCGTCCCCTTTCAAATCTCGAGAGTGAAGGGCGGCAGCGTATTGTTTCTTCAGAGCTCTGCTTTTTCTCTAAACTCAGCGGGAGATTACGTAATTTAGGAATTTACTCGAAATAAGTGGAATCCTTATTCAATATGTGCCCTGGTTGTTGCATTGTATTAACCACAGTTTATTGAATAAGGTGCAGTTGCCTGAGTTTACACTAGACACCAAGTAAATGTGGCACATTTCGGTTTAGGGATATTTTATTTGTTTATTTAAAGGATTTAGAAGGCTGCCCAACTCATAATTTATTATTCTGGGTGGCATATTGAAAGTTGCCTGAGTTTACACTAGACACCAAGTAAATGTGGCACATTTCGGTTTAGGGATATTTTATTTGTTTATTTAAAGGATTTAGAAGGCTGCCCAACTCATAATTTATTATTCTGGGTGGCATATTGAACTAAAATAAGCCACAACCAAAGTCGAGGCTGGATGTAACAAATGCTTCCTAACAGAACAGGGATGCAAAAGTCTGGCAGGGTTGGGGCCACCTGCACATCAGAGGGGAGCTTGTTTCAATGGGCAGGTGTGCCTCCTATGTTCCATAAGATGACACTGCCTCATGGAAGGAGTCTAGAGCATGCCTGTATTCTGTGACCTAGGGGGGGATGAGCAGAAATTTATTTATTTATTTACTTACAGGACTTACATGGCTGCCTATTTCATATAATCTAGGGGGTTTACAGCAATTCATAAAGACATGATTAAAAGCAAAAGTACTCTTCTCTCCAGGCACCAGATCAAACATCCTCTCAGCTCAACCTCATCCTAGCCCAATGCTTGGGGGAAGAGCCAGGTCTTCATGGCCCTCTAGAAGGGTAGGGATCCCTCGAATCTCAAGTTGGAGGCTGTTCCAAAGGGCTGGAGCAGCCACTGAGAAGGCTCACCTCTGAGGACCCATCATGCGGCAATATTTAAGGGAGGGGACCTGGATTGCACCCACCCTATTTAACCTAGTAGGCAGGGGAGATACTCTCAGGGAGAGCTGGTCCCACAAGTAACATGGGTCTGTGCCAAGTAGGGCTTTAAAGGTGATAATTAGCACCAGTTTGCACTCAGAAAGCAACTGGAAGCCAGTGCAGCTCATGCAGCAGTGGTGTTATGCAGGGCACCCAAAACTCTGTGCTGCTGCATTCTGAACCAATTGCAGCTTCTGGATGGTCTTCAAGGGTAGCCCCATTAGAACTCATTGTAGTAATACAAACGGAGGTGACTAAGGCATGGGTGACTGAGAGTAAGGCCTCCCGGTCCAGGATTGGGCACAATTGGCACACAAAATGGATTTGTTCAAAGGCACCCCTGGCCACAGCTGTCACCTGCTCTTCCTAGCAAACTTGCTTGGATTGAGTCGCAGCCAGTTTCTCCCCATCCAGACCCTTACAGATACCAGGCACTGGGCCATCACCTGAACAGCATCACTTGCCTGGCATGGGGAAGAGCTGTATAATTTGATATCATCCATATGCTGATGATACTGAACTCCATGCTGGCGGATGACCTCTCCCAGTGGCTTCATAGAGATGTTAAATAGAGGAGAGATACCTGAGCCCTTAGGCACCCCACATAATAGGGGCCTAGAGCTGGACCTCTCCTCCCCCACCAGCACTGATTGGTACTGGCCACAGAGAAAGGAGGAGAACCATTGCAAAACAATGCCCTGCTCTCCCAACCCACAGAGCTGGTCCAGCAAGATACTATGGTTGATGGTATCGAAAGCCACTGAGAAGGGTCAGTATGGATACACCAACCTCATCCTGAGCCTTCCAAAGGTCATCCACAATCACAACCAATGCTGTCTTGATACTATAGCCTGGCCTGAATCCTGCCTGAAAAGGGTCCAGATAATCAACTTCATCTAAGGAAATAAGAGGACATAGGCAGTCCCATAAATGACCTGGCTCTGTGTTGTGCAAGGGTTTATAGCTAATAACCACCCCACGGAATTGCACCCAGAAGCCTATTGGAAGCCAGTGTAGCACATGGAGTAGTGGTGTCACATGGGTGTTCCAAGACACACCTATTTCTACCTGTGGTGCTGGATTCTGGAATAACTGTAGCTCCTGGATAGTCTTCAAGGGTAGCCTGAGTAAAGGATGTTGCAGAAGTCCAACAGGAGGTATCCAAGACATGAGTGACTACAAGCAGAACTACCTGGTTCAGAAAGAGTTGCATTTGGCACACAAGATGGACTTGTGCAAAGGCTCTCCTGGCCATAGCTGCCAACTCTCCTCGAACAAGAGTTGTGTCTCCAAGAGGACCCCACAGATTGCGCACAGGTTCTGAGTGGGGGAGTGGATTTGCACAATATAGTAAGTCTAAGGTTTTGGTTGTAGAGCCACAGGCAACAGGGAATAAGATGTTGATTCACACCCATTAACTCAACCTTTTGAGTTAGGATGCTATAAAGATAGCCAATGGTGGGTAGGGGGAGCCAAAGGCGGAAAATCCCTTGATTTGGGTCCCAAACCCACAGCCACTTAGTCTTGCCTGAGTTGAGTCAAAGCCTGTTTACCATCCATACTCCAATTGCCCCCAGGTACTGGGAAATCATTGAGGCAGTATTACTTGGTTAGTCAGAGGCATAGATGGACAAATGATGTAAACATAGTTATCATTTCCTTTCTTAATTGTTTCTATTAAGTATCAACTCCATATCAGGTTCATTCTTATAGCAGGACATAACTTTTACTTGGCTTTTGGTTTTGATCGAGAAGTTGTATGCTGGATCTGATAACTGGATTTGTACTTTGTAAGGCAAGTCTCATGGTATCTGTGGGCATGGTATTGCTTCTATCAGCAGATGGAGTACACAGGATCCGCAAAATATTTTTTTAAACTGTTTGAAATCTTACAGACTTCAGTGTTCCTATTGGAAATCTTTGAAGATTTTGGGTAAGGACACTGACATCTTACAGAATTTGACAGAGATGCAAGATTTCTGCCATTTGTAATGGAATGGAATCTAAACTTTAGTGCAAAATTGCATAATTGTGCCTAGTGTCTGAGATCCACACATTTACTACAAGTCAGACTGGTGAGGTGGATCCCCACAACCATCTAGTTCTGTAGTGTATTCTCTCCTTTATCTTTGCCTTTTTTTCTTGACAGATGGGCACACTTCTGAAGGAAGTGCTGAGCTTGAAACCACACCACTATTGTTTTCTAAGAATGCACACATTAGACATACATAAGTCAATCAGAGGTAAACGATCTGAGATCCCAAGACTGCATGTAACCACTGAAAACCTTAATTGCAGTTCTGAGAAGGTTTCAACATTGTTACCAAAGTAAGTTTTAACAGGTGAATTCATGTGATACACAGAGCCACAAAGTAGCCAACTATATTTTAATCTGGGGCGTTGTGGAAACCCAGGCATATGAATTTCTGGTTCATGCTAACTCAGGTAAACTAATCTATTGAGTAAATTATCAGTATGGGGAAGCATATTGTGACAGAAGATTACAAATATTAAATATATAACTGGACAGTACTCTTAATAACTAGGTATAATTTTAATTAAATACTATTTTTAAGTAACCTGGAAGAGGTTCACAGCTGTAGAGCTGAAAGAAATCCCAACAGATCATCTAGGACAATCTTCCAATTTTACAATATTTTCCATGTTTTTGATGAACTGGAAACATGACCCTCCTCGCCTGGATTTGTACTCACATAATGACTTCAGGTTTCATATAGTTTAAAGTTAACTATGTCATTCAATGCTAGCAATAGAAATTGTAATTTTAGTTCAAAGAAACATATCAGAATGTCTTTCTTCTTGTGATTTTACAAGCTTGTTTAGTGTCTTGGAGAAAAATGATCCATAACCATTAATGCCTAATTCTACAAAAGTATATAATTCCTTTACTTTCTCACCCATCTTGACTCTTAAGGTAGATCCATGTTTAAATTGATATATTGGCGACTGCCTGGACAAGTCCCTGCAGTTTTCTTGGCAAGATTTCAGAAGTGGCTTGCCATTGCCTTCTTCCTAGGGCTGAGAGAGAGTGACTGGCCCAAACTCACCCAGCTGGCTTTGTGCCTAAGGCAGGAATAGAACTCATGGTCTCCTGGTTTCTAGCCTGCTGCTTTAACCACTGCACCAAACTGGCTCTCCAATGTCATAAAAAATACTACAGTATTGCTGCTTTATGGTGAAGCTAAACCAAGGGAATTACATGCAAATATTGAAGCTTAATATGCCGTAGATGAAGTCCCCCCCCCATTTTCTGTGTGTTTTAGCGATAAGCATAATATTAAATATTTTGTGATATTATTTACCATAGCAGAATATTTAGTATCTTATTTCTGTGTACAGAAAGTACACAGGAGTCCTTTTTTTCCTTTTTTTTAAAGGATAAGTTTCCTAATTCTCCATCTGAACAGTAGCTGTCTGACTCTTTTGAGACAGACTCTTTCTAGTATAGTATTCCTGAAGCATAGAATGAATATTTGCCCCTTAGAGGAGGAAGAGGAGGTGTCTTCAGACACAAACTGCCTGTATGAACTGCTGTGAATATACTGCTGCACTAAAATTCACTTTTCAGGCTAGGCCAGTTCCTGGAGAAGCAACTGAATTGTTCCAGCCCAAGCAAAAAAATATCTGCAATAAGTTGTCTGACACTTCTAGAATATGAAGATTCTGAACTCCTTCAACTTCTCTGCAGAACATGGAAGGCTGATAGTTTAGAATGAAACAGGAACAAAAAAGAGGAGTG